CTATATACTGCCCTCCATTCTGTCAATACAACCACCTTTGTAAAACATTTATTTTGTTAGCCCTTGCTTGCTAGCCTGAAAACTTACAGTGACTTCCAAACACTCTTAGGATAAACCCAAACTGCTAGACATAAAATTTAAAGCTCATCTCCAGCTGACTTTATTTCTTATTTCCAGGTCATGTTGAGTCTCTCATCCCATGCTCCCTACACTCTAACCACACTGGATTATGTGCCTTTTACCTAATAAACTATGAACTTTGATGCCTTCACAACTTTGTTCATGATTTCTGAGCAGTTGAAATGCCTCTTTCTTGCTTTCTAGTTTGAGGAAACTTTATTTATTCCAAGGTAAAAACTCAAAAGGTTTTCGGTCATTAAATCTTTCTCAAATGTCCTCTTTATTCTTGTCTGTTTCTGTCTCCCTATAGCACTTTTAGCACATCTAACTCTCATGGTAGTGAGTTCCTTGAAAGCACAAATAGTTTCTTTCCCTTATTTGTATTCCTACTATCAAGTATAGTGCCTGGGCTAAAGTAGGTACTCAGTAATTATTGGTGAGTAATTATAGCCCTCTGGTGATCTTGAAAATGGATAAATAAATTTTAAATAAATAAGTATATATAAAACATATCTATGGAGAAAAATCGACACACACACACATATATATATTTCCATATATACGTGTGTGTGCATATTCAAAATAATCCAACACTTTTATACTTTTATACTCCACTGGATAGTGCTTCAGCCAAGTCAGCTCATGACTCAACACTGACATTAGTATCCCTAATACTTTACATATATATATATACTTACATATATAAAAGTATATATGTATATTTTTATGAATAGGTTATATTCATAATTGGCAAATCAAGCATTGAGAAAATTCTAAATTATATGCCATGGTAAAATATCACAACAGTGTAATATATCACAGTTTACATCATTTCATAATAATATTAATAAAAAAATTTTGATTTCTTAGTCAACTTTAAAAAGAAATTTTAAACTCTTTCAATTAGAAAATATAAAATTTGAATTCTCCCATCATGGATAACAGCAATAACAAAAGCATGATGGTATTCCCACTGAAATCTACCAAAACAATCAAAAATTCAAAAAATATATAATCATTTATTTTAAAAGTATATGACAACGTATGCTGAATATTATTTATATGAGATTTTGCTTAAATTTTATGATAAAGCATAAAAGAGGCATTTTGAAATCTGTATATTATGAATGTGAGTATTTATCTATAAAAACACAGGTTAAATCTTTTGCATAGATATCGTATGTGCAACCTCTACATAATGTGGAATATTAAGAATGGCTTCAGCGATGCAAAATAACTTTGCAGGGCATCTTTCCTGGAAAATTTAATAGTGCGAGTGCCATATATTAATCATGACTCATAGGACAGGGGTTCTAAATTCTTGAAACTCTGAATAGCCCCTAGCATGCCATAGGCCCTTTCAGCTCGAACAGATTGAAGCTGAATTTCCTTGGTTGAAAGTCAAAGATCAGACAGAAAACATCCAGGTAGAAAGCACCTAGTCTAGTAGAATATCTTTTAATTGGAATTAAAGGTGAACAAAGGAAAAAAAAACCAAACAGCTCTACAGACTGTGACTCTGATATTGATGATCCTTAAAATCTCATTGTCACAGAACTGCCAGAACGGTCTTACCACAAATGAAATCCTGTGAATTATTTTATGTTTTTCCAAAAGGAAACAATGTGTCCTACAAACTACAGAATTGTAAAATTCATTTTCCTATGATTTGTGGCATAAATTCTTTTTAAAAATCCATGAAGCATGACAAGCAAACAGAAATTATTGAAAAATACTTAGTAATATGCAGCAAAATAAAAAACAAAGAAAAACATCTAGACACAGTCTGAAATAAAAATCAGTTTATAGATTGAACAGTTAGTGCAGAAAAAGATAGAGGTAGACATAGGATACCACAAATGTGACGAGTGATAATTCTTTAGCCTTCAACCTAAAGGTAGCTTTATAGGCATTACTACATTGAAATATAGCTTAACATCAAGGAAAGTCTTTTTTCTTTTTCTTTTTTTTTTTTACTATCATGATTCAGGAAAGGAATCTTTTGAATTTTGTATTAAAATCATGCTTTGTGTCTACCCCAGACATCAGAGAGGTTTGCCATATCATCACATGAAAATAATTTAAGTTTACTTGAAGAAGTTCAAAAAATGGTTAGGTGGCTATGAATTTTTGAAACCATGCATTAATATGTTTCTTTTGTCATTAATTATACTTACTCCTTTATTAAAGAAGTCTCAAGTGCTAAGCATCTTACCAGTGCCTAGAACTGATCGAATGTGGTGACCTCCACTACATCGTATTGTGCATAAATTGTGGCCACAAATGCCACGAGGATTCTAATTCCAACAGAAATATGTCTCAGCTAAGCACACGACACAAATATCTTTAGAGTTATTTGTTTCTTCTCTCTATGGTACTTCCTCAGTGTTGCCACGGAAGTTATTCTCCTAAAATATCAGGGCGTCCACTCCCCTGTCTTTAAAGACCTCTGCTATCCAACTCCCATTTCTCCCAAGATCAAGTTGACTCTCCCTCAATTTGAATATAAAGTCTTACACATTTTGCTCTATTTTCTAGTCTCCTTTTATAACACGCTGCCTGGATACCTGCTTGTCCTCCTCCAAAGCCCTGACTCTTGGCACTGTGCATATCACCTCAACTGGATTCCCCAGCAGGTAATAATTTCTAGGAATGCAATATACTAAATACCTAGTATATTGTAGGAAATCAATAAATCTTTACTGAGTGTCAAATTTTTAATGAATGCCCTAAAAACACATATATTTCTCATTTATAGCATCAAATGAATTCAACCATTGCTTAGTGAGCATCTGGTAATCTATTATAAGCAAGGTACTCAGCTAAGAACTGGAGAAGGGGGATAGGCAGATACGAATCACACTTGGATCTTCCCAGTGAGGACATTATGTTGTGGTAAAGAAATATAACATATACACGTACATGTGCACAGTATTTCATCATTAAAAGTAGGAAACTCTAGCTACCATGAAAATCGTACCAATAACGGGCTTAAAATGAAGCGCTAACAACTTGGTAACCAGGAAAAGCTTAATAAACGAAGAACCATGGAAAGTAGGATTTACTCATCCAAAATTACAAAGACAGAGAATTGCAGGAGTATAACATATATAACAGTATGGGTTAAGGTAAGCCGGAAGAAAGTGAGAAGCAGGAAAAGGCCCTTGGGAGTTACCAGACTTAGCTGGAGCATCCAGTTCAAGAAAAAGAAGAATAGGAGGTAAAGATGGTAAAGGGAGACTAGAACTAGATAGATGTAATTCTAAATTAAGAAATTTGAATTTTGTTAGAGACAAGCTGGTACTGGATGTTTCAGAGCATAGTCTAATAAGAAGCAAGATGTTCTGTCCTTGCAAGATTTTAAGACAGCAATGTATGGACTACTTTAGCCTTCTATGTAATACCTGAATTCACTATATATAATTTGTCCACAAACTTTAATATCAGTTCAATTATGCTCTGCAGACCTAACCCTGATGTATGTTATTTCATAGCCTTAGTCAGTTACCAAGCCAGCATATAAGGAGAGAGTGCATTATTTTTTATAAAAACATATTATTTTCATGATACGGTATTACTAGATAGCACAGTAAGCGGAATGACTGCTAATAGCAGTCATCCAGGCAAGTCCATTTCAAACTCAGACTAAACGGTAAGTATCGGTGAATATCGAGGAGGACCACGTGGCCTCACAACTACCTACATGAAAAGCAGGCAATCTAAAGATCCAACTGCAACATATCTCTGAAAACCAGTTAATAGGAAAAATCACAGTAAAATATTTGAAGGAAACAGAAATAAAACATTCCCGAACCTCACAGTTAAAGAAAACTGAATGGTAACGAAAGTGATGCAGCAACAGTCGAAGAGAGAGTGTCACTGTGTAAAATGAGCTTCGCCCAGACACAACAGCCTGGCATCTTTTATTAATATAACTCCAAATATTCAAAGAAAAAAAAAAAAACAGTAAAGGTGAGAATATGAACTTATCTGATCACTCTGCTGAAGTCTACTAGAGAATAAATAAATAAACCTATCACATTTTTTCTGCATTTTTTAATGAAAAATTTCTAAATGTAAAGAGACACTTATGTAAACAGCCCAAAGTGTGCATTGACCATTAATCATGTTTATTGTGCTCTCACTGGCAAGTATTAGCATGTTGTATGAGTATATTTGTATGTTCTAAACAATTCCAAAACATACTTTTTCAAAGCCATGCTAAACAGAAAGGTACTAAAATCTATACCAACATATAGTTCTTTTATCAAGTTTAGATTCCTAAAATATCTAGGAAAATTAGGGTTTAACATCAGGCACACCTGCAATTTGAATCCCAGTGTAGCTCCTGACTAGTGTAAGATCTTTGGAAAACATATTTGCTTGCTTTAAGTAGCAAATAGCACTTAGAGGCACTTACTATATACCAGGCACTGTTATGTATTGCATTCAGACCACTTCTGAAATCTTAGCTCAATCAGTGAGTGAGCAGAAATGTGATTTGTGTCATATTTTTAACCTCATCTTTAATAACAGCTATTACTTATAGTTTCTCACTTTATGCGAGGCAGTACAGTATTATATAATGTTATATATGTTATATGTAACATATTCACTTATCCACATTTACAAATAATACCACGAGATGTGCTATTATCTTCATTTTAACACCTGAGAGAGCTGGCCGCGGCGGTGCACACCTGTAACCCCAGGAGGCTGAAGTGTAAGGCTTGCTGGAGCCCAGTAGTGTGAGGGCCAGCCTGAGCAACACAGTGAGATCCAGTCTCTACAAAAAATTTAAAAATCAGCTAGCTGTGGTGTAGCACACTGTAGTCCTAGCTACTTGGGAGGTGGAAGCAGGAGGATTGCTTAAGCCCAAGAGTTCAAAGCTACAGTGAGCTATGATCACAAAACAAAACAAATAAACACAATTCCATACTTTTTATATACTTTTTATGCCATTTGCCAAAAATCCCTACTAAACAAAAAGGTTGCCGTTTGAATTGATGTGTTAAACAAAGAAAAGAGACAAGGAAACAAAAAATCTTAAATGTTTTCCTCCTTAAAGGTTTTGTATAAGAATGAATTTAGACATCTATAGGTACATAGTTCTGGGTACAATGAACTACCTGTGAATTACATAACAATACCAAAGTTAAATTCCAAATGGTATCTATATATTAACTGCAAAAAAGTTTTTTGGACCATTTTTGAGGGGGAAAAAGAGAGTCCTCTGTGGACTTACTGTGCTATACAAACCCAAAGGAACTAATAGTCTAAGTACTCGGCCATAAAACAGGAAGCCATCAGCTTTTAGTGATTGAGAAAGCAAGCTTGACTCAATCTCTGACTAATAAGTCAGATCCTGAAAGTATTTCATTTCTTTGCATGTTCTGAATCATGAACAATGTAAAATGAAGAGTAAAACACCTTCAGAAGTTTGCCGCTATGTTTTATAGCCCAATTTTCATAACGACTGTGGCCATCCTTTATGTTGTTGTGAAAAGGCAGAACCAATCTTCTGGCAGATGACTGTCTTTGGCTCAGCAGAAACTTCCATCCCAAGTAATGAAGACAAACACACATAATTTGAAAGTGTTCTCACTGGGGAGGGGAGGAGGAATCAGAGAACCCCTTTATGTCCTACACATGATAAATTATTTGTGACATGCATATTTCTTTTCCTCTGGCCTGTCCTAAGGCAGAGTTCCATTGTGACTCTCCAGAATGCTGTTCTTTGTAAGTAATTTCAATGGTCCTTAATGGAATCCCATGAATCACATTATATATTCAAAAATATGATTATCCTTATACATATTCTTTTATGTTTCCTCCCAAAATAGTGAGAGATACTTCTTTTGTATCTAAGTGAATCCTTTAGGCATTGATTTGTGGTCATTTGGAATTTAAAATGTACTTCATTTAACTCTATTGTACACATAGTTATTTAATATGCTTTGAATTCAGAAAGTATTTTCATGCCATCAAAATGCCTTTTTAAAAAAAAATCTTCTCTGGATTCAGGAACAAAGAATATGTGTATTTTTGTATTTTATAATGAAGAATTATATTTAATTCTGCTGGCATGTGACATAGTCATCAACAATTCTAACGCTTTCTTTTTTTCATTGTCTTCATTAAATCCATTGGGAGTACAATGGCTTAGGTCACAACATGAAACATCATGCTAATGAAAGGGCTAATTAACTGGTATAAGAAATAAATTGCATGAAATAGATTGCTGTATTACTTTGTTTTAACTTTTGTCTCATTTCAACTTGGTAACCACTAATTTAGACTCCTCTAATCATGCTCTTTAATCCAAATGTTAATCTCAGATGACAAGAGCACATGGCTACAGCCCTAATTCAAGATATATAATACATTTCTTCCCAGTATTAAAAATGGGATATTGAAAGATAAAAAGATTTTCTGTTCACAGACTCCTTGGTATTCATTTGAATACAACATCTCTTAAGGTAGGACTAATTGGAAGTCAGCCTCATAAACATTTTCACAAACTTCTCAATCTAAATAGCAAGGCATTTATGATTGTTCATTGATGAACAGTTAAAAGGCCGACCTGATAATTTTGAGTGTTTCCTTAAAACTATCAATGTCTTTCTTAACACATAAGTTTTTCAATTATTTGCATGATTTTAACAATCAGCTTTCAATTTGGGGTTCAAAATATGACATACATTTTTATTTAATTTTTATTTAATAAATATGCAGGGTTTTTAAAAAGTCAACCAGCAGAAAGTTAGAATACACTGTACCCACTTGAAATGTATTATCAGGAGGCAGTTTCTGATCTTTCTGGAATGCACATAACACAAGTCTGCTTCTTTCATGAGCTTGACACATAGGGGAGAAAAATCCCTTGCTGACCCGCCTTTAGCAGCTAGACACACAGCACAGAAAGATTAGAGACCTGGATCTACCTCAGCTCCTACTGAGATGGAATTTTCACTGACATAATTGGGCAGTAAGTAGCAATTAGAAAACAGGGTGAGCTGTACCTGATGTCAGAGCTCCAATCTCTTAAAATTGGAAATGCTAATTTTTCCCCTAATATCTAAGGATATAGGATAGGAAGATATTCATTTTTAATCACATTAATTTTATTATTTCCTTATTAGAACCTCACAAAAAGTAGCATAAGATAATTTATTATGGTGGAATTAACATGTATAAAAATACAGAGAGGCCAGCTCTTTCATAAAAAAAAAAATGTAAAAATTATTGAAACTTGTGGTCTAACATAACAAAAATATGAAGTTGGCTTTACTTTCTTTCAGATGCTCAGTTGCTAAACTGTGCTATGTAGTTCAAATACAACATTCTCATGATTTCACAAGCGATGGTTGTGTGCTTTCAAGACCACAGAGTCATTTCTGAGGACTACATTTTGCAGTCACAATTATTAATCAATATATTTCTTTCAAAAAGTAGTTTCAAACGGGCAAAACTGAACATTTTCACTGATTATTTTATTCTCTCCACTACTCTTAGTTAATAAATTATTACATTTCCAATAAAAGCCACTGACTTTTCAGATATGAATCATCCAGTTCAATTCAGCAAGTATTTATTGTTTATATTTCATACATCCAAATCTTACCACTTAATAAATGTGGCATGTTTTTTACTTAATGAAGAACTTTTTTAAAAAGCTCATCATACATAATAGACACTTATTAAATATTTGCAAAGAATAACAACTATGTGTGGATTGGTTATCAGAATCAGTATTATCTTTTTATGATAATATTACACATAATTTATAATTCTTAGATTCCGCAATTTTAAGCTACTAAAAACCAGAGGAAATTATATACCTTTATGACTGTGAATAAAGTGATCTTCAAAACTTATTCCTTGACCTTTTGGAAGCTTTCATCATTGGTTTCTGACAAAGATTTTATTTCACCTTTCACAGTATCCTTTCACTTGTCTATGTCTGAAAAAATTAGAGCTTACAGAGCTCCAAGATTTGAATCATTGCAGGCCAGAAACCGATGAATTTCCTTAGAGAATCTGTATCTGTCCAATTTTGCTGAGTTTCACATCATAATATACAGAGAATACAGAAGGCTTGGTGTTACGTTTTCTGTAAGTGTTTCACTTTTTCACAGTGATACTGGGTTTATTTTGGCCTGTGAACATCTAAGTCAGCAATGATTACACATTATTCATATGTCGATTATAAAGAAAATAAGAAGAAAATGACTAATTCCAGTGTTTATTGAAGTCATCTTATGTCATCCACACATTGTCTGGATTAATCTCACTTAACAGTCACAGCTAATTTATGAGGTAGATACTGTTATTAACTTCACATTACACATAAAGAGATGGAGGCAGTAAGATGTAATTTGCCCAAAGGTCACTCGACTTGAACATGTATGAGCCACATCTCAAATCCAAGCAGTCTGAATTCCAGACACTGCACTTTTAACCACTATGACATTTTGCCACTGTGCACATGACATCGCAACAATTAGCCTGGATGGCCATATTCCCATGAGGTCATGAACGTGCCCTGTTGAAAAAAATGCAGTGGCCATTCTCCTTAGTCCTCCTAGATTCCAGCAGCAAGATCTTCATTTTCAAAATGTTTTTGATGCAAATAGTATATATTTAAGGTGATGTATGTTGAGTCTGCAAAGCAAGCAAATTGGAAAAGAATTTCCCTTCTTTCTTGTCTACAGTATTTAAAGCAGATTCTTCTATATCAGATTCTATGCCCAATATTTCTGTGTACTACAACTTCTGAACAGCTTTCACGTTTATGTCATGCAGGCTGAGTCTGCTTCATTCAAACTACTAGATGTGTGATCTAAGGAACAACAAAATTCATCTCTGTACCCCCACATAGTTTTACAATCTCATTTGTTTCCCCATTTACAGTACTGTTTGGCATTAAAGCTCAGTGTTCCATCTGTTGAGAGTGACCTCTGGAATCAGAGTGACAGGGCTCTACCTCCTGCTATTTCTGTAGCTTTACAAAGTTACTGAAACTCTGTTCCTCATTTTCTTCATCTGTAAGATGGGTTATTAAGACAATAATAATATCTGCCTCATGAAGTTGATAAGAATATGAAAGAGAGCAACCAATACATCATCTACACAGAGTTGACTCTAGGTTACTTAAGTTTCAAAAGTTATCAAAGAAATATCAAGATCAGTTCAACTAATTTACCAAAAGAGGTTAAGTGAATACTTTTCAATGGTGATTTTCATTCATAGTTGCTCGATTGCTTGCAATCGAGGATAGATAAAGAATAGATAAACATTCCTTTAGGAAAGTTTATTCTTCCTCTTTTTTTTTGTTTCAAATAGAGGCAAGAGGAAAAGAGTAGAAGTTTTATTTAGAGAGATGGACATAAGAGAGGTTTAGTAGGTAGAAGTCTGCAAGTCTCCTATTTAAGTTTCTAATCTTGTAAAATAAGGAATAAATGTGACAAAAATAAATTTTATTAACTCAAGCAGTTCCATCTAAGAGAAAAAAAGTTCAATGTGACCAATGCTTTAAATAAGGATCCCTGAAGATTATCCATGCCACCGTTGTTATTCTGAAAGTGACACTATTTTGCAAGTCAGTATGCTGCAATGAAGAAAAACAACAACAAAAAAACCACTTCACATATATGCTTTCACTTTGCTTCCTACTGTTTCCCTGACCTTTCCCAGTTGGAGTAGTAGCGGGAAACTAAAATAAAAGTACTATTTTCAGTGTGAGGCACTTTGTGACTAAACATTAATCGTGAATTGTAACAGTCACAAGACTTTTCTGCCTACTGCCCCTCCTAAGCAGAGAATTGCTATTAGATAAAAGAGCCTACGGCAATAAACATCAGGGGTGACTGTTTCCTTCTCCTCTGAACTCAATCAGGCTGATCCAAGTTCAGAAATGCCTTTGAAGTCACAGACACCTTCGTGTGCTGGTCAACCCTTGGGGGGTAAAGAGCAAGAAAACCTGGTTCTCACACTTTAATATTCTGTCAGGAATGCATTCCACTCAATGGAGAATAAAAAGGTTCCCTCTGTTACAAAACTGCATTATTTTGTACTAGGGTACTGCTTGCTTTCATTAACTTGAGGGGACCTATTGATCCCAGAACATGACTATGTATATACCTCGGTATACACTTCCATTAGGTTAAACTAATGCTAAAGTAACAACAACTGTAAATTTATATTTTTCCTTGGTCTTAAGGCATGTGCTGTGCTTTGGATCAATTTAAGTGGAAAACAGCATGTGATTCTCTTAATACAGATGAGCACTATTGAATATTAATTTGATAAGTATTAAATACCAGTTTATAATATTTCTAAGTTATCAAAGCCTTTGAAGTTAAGAATTAAAATGATCTGAAAACTGATAGTGGAAACCCAAATCCAAGATGAAAACCTGAGAATTCAAACACTGCACCCCTAGGGTCGGCTGTTTGATGGCAAGGCAAAACTGAACATCAAGACTTGTAGTTTGTTCAGATTGTTTTACTCTTTACCACATACTCTTGCAATTATCTCTGTCAAACCTTTTCTCTTTATCTTGTGTCAAAACGCTTTACTCTCCAATTGTAAAGATGTGGAGAGTATATTCTAAAAACCAGCAATAGAAACCTATCTTATGTCCCGTTTATGTTTTAGGAGACTATTAAAATAGTCCTATTTTAACATGCCTATTTAACATGCCTATTTTAATAGGCATTTTATAAAGTAGGGTTTTCTTTATTATTTTGGTCACAGAAAAATATTCAATACAGTAGAATTATACAGTTTGTAGACTTATAATTTATTATAATACCATAAATAAAGACAAAAATCCCTGTAATATTATAGAGGACCAACCGCAGCTGATTGTCACACAGAAAGAAGAGGTGAAAATTTCAACTATAAAGTTAATCATCAAGATAAAGAGAAATGAGTACAAATAGCAGAGAACAACAGCTTCAAAATTATTATGGCACATGGTGACTACAAAAAATATGTCCATCTGTTTTAAATATTCACTACTTTACCTACATATGATTACTTGTTATATAATTTAGGTTGAAGAAAAATGTGAAAAGCACATGTAACTTATTGGTAGAACTAAAACGTAATAGTTAGAACGTAAATATTTCTCCAGAGTCTTCCATAAGAGCATCCACGGTTCACATCCTGGCACGGAGTAAAGCAGCCTGAAAGAGTATAACACGACTTTCCAACTATCTTGTAGACTGATTTCACGTGGGCCTACTTTCATCATTTCCAGACATCAGTACCACTTAACTTAAATGGCTCAATTGCATTAAATATTATATTTAATTGAAGAATCTTTGCAGTAATCATTCTATTTTAGAATTGCTTTTTTGTGAATAATAAATTCTAATAATGACAACAGATGAAATAGCTTAAAACAGTTTACTCTACCTCTTTACATTCTAGGTAACAAGCCAAAGTGCAGAAGCTAATCATTAAATTTTGCTTCCATCCACTTATAAACACACACAAAAATGCATACATATGCACTCACACTCATACAAAAATTAGACTTTATATTTATACAGTATCTTTGATTAAGCAAGTAACTATAATGCAAAGAGGTACTTCCTACATGCAACTCATCCTTAATAAAATAGAAAAGACCCTCCTCTGCATACATAAATGCATAAGACCACAAATTTAAAAGGCCAGTTTTCTATTGATATAATGGTCATACATTCCTTGAACACTTACATGATTAACCCTAAATTTAATCAAAAATTGTATAACATGTCTGTGAGATATATTGTGATCTGTCTTCGGCTTTTACATCATCATAAATTATGTTTCAGCAAGTATAAGAATGGCATTTTATTTCCTCTTATGTCCACCAGTTTCTCACTTTCCCTGATTAGCATCAGTATTTCTTCTTAGCGGCTTATTAAACAGCATTGAATTGTCTAATTTTCTCAGATTTCTGTCCTGAGGTATACATTTCCATTTTCTTTGTTGATCTAGCACAGGCTCAGGTGATTTCTACATAATGCATCCAATTAATTTAGGCAAGGCAAATGAAATCACGTATATACTAATCTCCACATTATTAAACTATAAACAGTAACAGGATACATATCTCCACTCTTTGCTTGAGTCCATTCAAGTGTAAACCGAAGAAAAAGGATTTCCTGTTTGTCTTTTCATACTCCTGAGTATGGTGATATCTGATTCCATTTCTCCACAGTAATTGATAAGACTGCAAAACCTTTCTCACATCCCTCCTTTATTCCATATTGAGAGCTTGATTTTTTTTTTCACTTGTTTGCAAAGTATAGTTTGATTCCTTTTTGCAGAGATCTTATTTTAAAGCCATTTTTGTTTTCTTCCAAATCAGAGCTTCATTTTAATCAGCTAGTGATCCTGCCCCTTGGGGATCGATTTCTTTTTACACAGGACAAATCCAGGTCTATTAGGATCCAACATACTGAGTTGGAACATGGCATGTATTTCACTTACGAGCACATACATTCATTTTACACGATTCCTCAATGTGGCCAGAGGGGTTCATGGTCTGCACTGAATCCACCTATAAGAAATACAAAAATATGTCTGCTTTACAGGGATGGGAGTAGGGTTTTGCCAGACTAGTTCCAAAGCTTGGACTGCCCATCTTGGCTGACAGTATTCTTGGCTTCTTTAAGATGTATTTGCAGTGACCATAACCTCCTTCAGAAGTCACAGAGACACAACAGTCCTCACTACAATTAACAACCCCAGGGCACCTAAATCAATAGAGCTAGTTAATCTCAAGGATGCTATCTCCGAGAAGAGATGTTTGCATGGTATAAGAAACATCGAATAATTGTGTTTCAGAGTTTAAGCTTTTCAAGACTATGAAATATCACAAGAAGAGGAGTTGGCGGGGGTTGTTGGCTTTGTTTATACTACAAATACAGAAAAGAATGTAATGGTAATTTTGCTGTCATTGCTTACACAACTTGAACATCCCTATGATCTTAGGGATGTGAGCTTGATATGAACATTCACAGCCTTCAAAGTCACTCTATTCTTTAAATGCAATCATTAAATAGCTCACTCTTTATAGAAATCTGGGCAATTTATATGCTATCAACAAATGGCCTACTAATCTCTGACGAAGGATGAATGATTCTCCTCTCCAAAGCCATGACTGTAAAAGGGCAATGTTTTCCAACTTTATATCTAGTTTTCACAAATAAAAGGGGTAATAAATATTCCTTCCAAATATTTTGGTGCTAATGTCAGTTTTAAATAGTGTTAAATATTTCTCTGAACTTAAGCCTGACCAACAGGCTAATTTCTGCTTTCAGTGCCAGAAAGTACACAGAGCATGGCTTTCCAATTAGATGATGCAACTGATGTTAGTAAAATCTTTAGTAAGCTACAATATTGCCAAAACGATTATAAATCACATTCATAGAGTAAACATGGCATAGTTTACTACCCAAAGTTCTTATCTTTAAGAATTAGGGTCACTAAAGAGAAATATTTCAATGTTAATTTCCAGTGTAACAACGCATCAGCACATGAGAATCAAAGTTAGAAAAGCAGTAAATGCCATTTTTCACTAAATGTTTGATCAACTTATTTTGGAAGTAAATGAAAGAAGTAACATCTAAATTTAAAATTAATTGTTTATATTCAAGAGCAGAAAATGTTAAAAATGTTTTAACAGTGGATTATTATCAAGATTGGCTATATACATTTAAGCAGCTTTAAAGTATGCCTTAATTTTTTAAATTAAATTTTTTCTTGTCCTAAAAATAAAAAGAATATTTTTTTTTCTTTCTTTAGCAGTTCTAAAAGTTAACCTAACTTGGGATGTTCTGGCCAATTACATAAGCTGAATACATTTACCAAGCCATCTTTAAGTGAATTTTCATGATTTGAATTGTAAGTTTAACATGAACTTACCAGCCATATCACTACACATTTAATTTCAAAACTCGTTATACATAGATAATAGCTAAATTTTTGAAAGTTTCTAATATTATGTTTTATTTACAAACCAACTAAAACCATGTAGCTATGATGTAGTTATGCATTCCAAGACTACATTAGCTCTCCTTAGTAGGTACTCTTACTGTATGATATGTTTCCATAGCATTTATGGAATATACAACTATTTTTGTGAAGGTATTCATTGAGTTTTCACATCATATATAAGGCTACAATATGTTTCATGATTGAAAACATCATGAACATTCTGTTTATTGCGTCCTTCTCAGTATCTCCTTAAGCTTCTCTTTTTAATCCCTCTAATATTACTGTCATTCTCTTCTTTCCTTAAAGGAAAGCTACTAGGTAAAATTTTCTGCAAGGTTTTAAATAAATAAATAAAAAGTGAAACAATATTTTTTAGAAAAACAGGAAATCAGAAGTGTCAAAATGTTTTATTTTTTATGTTTAAGACCTGACTTATACTTTTAACTTAAAACCATCCCCAGGAATATATAGGATTTAAATAATATATTCACCAAACCGCCATGCAGCATAATGAAGTCCTCTTATTAAAATGTTATTTAAGAACAGAACTAACTCTCTCATTTCGTAAGTTACCGTATAAGAGCAGGCTTCTGTTTCTGTGGTTTAAGCTGTGACACACTGAACAAATGCAACTGTGTACTAATATTCACCTGTCAGCAAAGCCAAGAAAAATGGATCCTTTCCTCACCATTAAAGATTAATGTTTAGAAACAAAAGTGCATATCTCAAATCACAGAGAACTACTTAGGACTCACCATTCTGAAAACTGTCTTTGGTGAGTGTCAGAATAGAAATGGATGTTACCAGGATGTGTTTGTTTTGATTTGAATCAGCTAATTAAAATGGCCCTGGAAGCAATTTTCAGATCGCAGCCACTGAGGAGATAGGCTCTAGTAAATCAGACCAAACCAATCTTTCAGTCGGGTCCAATTCAGCTGAAGTTGTATAGACACAGCCTTTGTCTTCGCCTTTCAACCTTTCTCCCGGATTTGTTCTATCACCCAGGCAACAAGTCACACATATGCACTCACAAACACACGCGTACACACAGAGGGAGATAAAGCCAAATCATTCCTGGAGCGCTTCCTGCCAGGCTATCTTTGTATCTCACTCATCTTCCATTTCCTAACCCAGAGAATGAATTAAGCTGAGAATTTAACAAAAATTATCAGTAAAAGTTAACTTATAAAAGCTATATTCTTCACCTTTTCTAGACCTCCTTGGCCAATAATAGGTAACGATTGCTAGGGGAGGAAAGCTGAATTATGCAGAGAACAGCAACAGGACTCAGATATTGGTACAAGAATATACTGAACAGTCATACATAGGACTAGACCTGCTCTTTATCTATGATTCTGAAATACTTTATAACCATAAACAAGGAAAATACATATTTTTTAAAAAATAGGTGTTTATTTTTCTAGTTATTTTTATGAGGTATGCTTCAACACTAAATCGTGTACTATGTAATTGGTGTAGATTAAGTACAAGTATCTTTTGAATGTGTTGGCATATAATTGGCAATATATAAAATTGATTCTATGAATATTCATTATTTTTTCCTTGACTGATGTTTAAATCTAGGAAAATATAAAAGGCATGATATAAGATGCAGAGCATATTCCATGACATATAAAAGCAAATTGATGTTATTTTTCACAGTCTAGAAACAGGAAGTGATATTAATATTTTAGAATATCAATGCGTAACATAGGCGCTAAACCAGGGCAGAGCTACTTATCTATCAACATTAAAAAGTTTATCTACTATTCTTAAAATATAAGAAAACCATTTGAAATCGAAAACAGGACTTACGGTAGGTAAGCATGGGATTTGGATAAATGAAGGACTATGAGAAGGATAATTCTGGATGATATTTTGGTCTTTTACTTTCTTCTGATTTATATAAATAATGTATTAAAAACTACAGTTTATAATAATTATTAATCACTGTAACATTTGTACAAATACTGATGAGTTCTGGACACAAGTCCCCAAAATATGGCACCTTTGCATTTGAGAAAACAGCAGAAGCCGGAAGGCCACTCTCACCCTCCCCTTGCCCTTCTCTCCTGAGGCAGATCATAAGACCCTCATTTGAGAAGGACCCTTCATGTTCCTAACAGAAAGGAAAATCTTAATCTCTAAAGACACAGGGACACATAGAAGAATCTGAAGGACCAGGCCTTGCTAAATTCCCTTCAGTTCATAAACAGTAATTTATATGCCCTTTGTCCAATCATATTTTTCTACGACTATTCATCAAACCCAAATGTAAAAATATACACCTTTATTATTTCTTTGGGTCTTATGTCCTTATGAAGGCTCTTATGCTATATAAAACTTATATGAAATAAAGTTATATTATTTTGTTATTAATTTTGTTATAGATGCCTCAGCTATGAATGTAGAGATGGGTGAGGAAAATAAATCATTCCTCCTTTACAATATTTATTACAAGATTGCACTTAACTATCTATTTTACCTTCATAAAGTCCCATGAAGTAGGAATCATCATTTTGCTCATTTTACCCTTGAGGGAATTAAAGCTCAGGGAGTTTAATCTTTTTTATAAAATCACACAAAGAAGTGGTAGAATCAGGGCCCCATGACTTTTTGTTCCTAATTAAATATTTTGTCTACTACATTATGTTTTGTCACAATTATTTTTTAATCTGAGTTTAAGATTTTTTTAAAATAAACAACAAAGTTATAATTGTAAATGTCTCCATTTTGGCATGGCTTAAAGAAAAATAAATTTATGCAAGTTTCCTAAACTATTACAAATGGATATGTTAAGAAGCTTGGTCTAGAAGCTTATGTATTTATCATACTCTATCATGATTATTTAAATTCATGAATACATGAAGATCCTATCATAATTATTTAAATTGATGTTTACATAAGACGCAACTTTGACGTACCTGAAAGTTGTTTAAATTGCTAAAAAGAAAAGGAATGAATTAAAAGATTAATTCTATCCAATCAAAAATGGGAAGACTCGTGACCTAGTGGCGCAACAGGTAGCAGGTCTGACTCCAGATCAGAAGGTTGTGTGTTCAAAAAAGGGAAGCCAAGACCCATTTACATGTGTAAGAGCACACACACAAAGGCCACTATTAAAGAAAAGAAGTCTTTCAGATTGTCAGTTGACAACCAAATTAGCTACGGAAGGAAAGAGGACAAATAATATTACACCAATTCCCATTGGAGGTACTTTGCCTTGACCTCAGAATATGAATGATTTGGGGACTAACAAAAGAATGCCTTGGGTTGAATAGCCAAGCAATCAATATTTATTGACTGACTGCCTGTTAGCATCATAGAATCTCAGCGTTAGAAAGAATGTCAAAGGTTATATTTGAGTCCAATCATGTAAGAGGCCTAGCTACATAAGACGCAATCCTGGTTCTGCAACTGGAAACTTTTATTTATCTCTGAAGTGATATACAAACATACACATGTCAATGGATTGTAACTTTGGAAAAAAAGATAAGGGCCAGTAGGTAGAAGAGATCCAAGGAGTAACAAGACACTATGGTGAGGACTGTAGGAAGAGAG